ATATACCTGTACCACGTGACATGGCGATATGTATATCACACTGAGAGAAAATGTAGTGTTACGTTGGTGCGACGTACTGTTTGAGTTTAAGCTTTCACTTAATAACTCGGGACACACGCTGGGCACGTTAGTAGGACACGGAGCTAAAGGGACAGTTCTATCTAACGACGTGATATTTGCAAAGGGGCTACGACTGTTTTAACACAACTTGAAGCGATCAGTATGCAAGGAATATCCCGATGCACTTAACTTGTGCGCGGTGTGCCTACAGTTAGTCAGTTTTATCAAGGGTGGTGTACTAACGGGTATCTCGTCCGCAATCTAGACGATGACAGCGCCGTTACGGAAAAAGGGTTTTGTTTCTCGCGACCGGACTCGAATGTATTAATACCGTTGCGAGTACCGACTTTCGCTCTAATTTTGTTAGCTCTTGCCCCGATAGTACCACTACTGTGGCGGATAGTGGCGTGCACGAAAAATAACTTATCAATTTTCAAGGATCTACGGGTAACAATACCGTGGCAGATATTGGCGTGCGCGTAAGCAACTTTAAATAATTTACCAAGATCCTCGGGTACCAATATCGTGGCGGATATTGGTGCACGCGCAAACAACTTTAAATAATTTTCAAGGATCCTTGGTTACTAATATCGTGGCGGATATTGGTGCACGCGTAAACAACTGTAAATATGGACTGGGCCAAAAAAAAATACAAACGGAAAAGAAAGAGTACTAGAAAATTATGACTTTTACACTTACTTTTATTTAAATATAACTGGAGTACACGGTGAACCAGTCCGAGCCAAGGTAAGTAAAGAGGTTTTTGCTACGCGCTCGTGGAGGACTGAGTGATAGCAGAGGTGGACTTTAACTATTCAGTCGACCGTTTGAGGGTGAAAAACAAAAATTAACTGGGTCCTTACCTCGTGGTAGACTGGGAGGTAGCAGAGGCGGACTCTTACTACTCAGTCTACCGTTCGAGGGATCTGAGTTAAGAGAGTCTTTGGGCCTTTTTATAAGGAGAAGCGGACCTCGGTGACGCGCTGATTCGATAACAACGCAGGAGAGCTTGTCGGGAGAAAATCTTGCAAAAATGACAATAGCCGAAAATTAGCACTTCCCACATCCAGTTCACTCTCCTCTTTGCGCTAAGAGAAGGGAAGGAGATTCACTTGCTCATGCCCTTCCTTTTCCTTTTACGTACGAAGTTGACAGGATTTTAATACAATTGAACCTTAACATTGTGACAGGATATTATTAATGTTCACTATTGCTAAACTCCGCTTGTTTGTTTAACTTAACTCGTTGCAAAAAGAGCGCTGAAAATCGCTTAACAATTCGATTGATGTTCGGGTGAACAAATGATTGGTGATTTATTAATTAATACTACTACTTAATGCCAAAACGGTGGCTACTGCCGTAATAAATTATAATTATAATATAAGTAGTATAATTGTGAATCCTTTATTCCGTAAGTTTTATGTAAAATAATAACATAACACAATAATTACTTAGCACTTGCGCACAATATCACCGCACTGCCAACCTTACTAAACTAAAACTTAAAACTAAATGAGCTGTATCGGGTATGAGGTCATTTATCTGGATTAATTAAAATTAGTAGCGTGGTGTCAGTTTAAGTATATAGTTGGTGTATCAAATAACATTTTTTTTATAATATAGAAAATATAAAATATAATGAAGCTTTAATTAGTACTTTGAAATGTAAATTATCCCTTTATTATGTTCAAGTGTTCTTAATTGAAGATAAAAAAATACATACTTACTAGCTATGTATAACTTTGAATATTTTCGAATTCATTCAGCAAAATAGTATTGTTTTTCATTGAATTAATAAACAATACTTTCACTATGAAATCAGTAAAATCCGTTTTGAAATTGTATGTCATTATTTTTTATTTCTAGTCATAATAAACGATGCAAAAATGTATTATTTGTCAGAACTTTACACTAGTATTCATGCCAAAAGATCCTGCTTAGGAACTTGCAGGATCTTTTAACTAAAAGTTCATGACATTTATTAGATGTTTTGTATATATATANTTAACTTAATGTTAATCTCAAATGTATTTGCATTTAGTATTTCAGTTTAACTGTTCTCAGTTGAACTTTGGCATCTATGGTTGTCAAAAAATATTTTGTTTCTCATCTCCGGTCAGCATAGGCCAGCGTGCATGTACATAAATCATCATTGTACTGCAAGTATCAGTAACTTGCAGGTGATTCACCTCTTTTTAGATGCACGTTGGTCCTTGCTCAAGTGCTTTCAAAACAACATCCCTAGGGAATGAGTAGGTGAAAAATTATTGGGAATTTTTAGTTTACCGACGTTACAGTAGATTAGGCATTATGGGAGACATTAGGTTTTTATTTTTTTTGTGGTTAAAACAGAGTTTAACACATAAAGTTGTTTGAATTAATATTTTTAACATTATCAGAGGTAAGTTATTATTTTTTTCATGAAAGAAAATCATTTATTGAGGCCGAAAACATCTTTTTACAGATACAAAGTACAGTTTAACCTAACATCGAGTTGCTTGTTTACCTCTAAGCAGCCACAACAGCGACAGCAGCAGCAGCAGCAGCTGCAGCAGAAATGAGTAGCTCAATGTAGGGTTAACTGTACTTCGTACCTTTAAAACACTGGTTACGGTCTTGACAAACAATTTCATCGAATCGAAAAACATAACAACCTAACTCTTATAATGTTAAAAATATGTAATCCAATAACTTTTTGTATTCAACACCTTTTCTATCACGAAAAACAATAAAAACTTAATATCTCCCATAAGGCCTGTACTACTTTTCCTCTCAGTGTGATGTATATATCGCCATGTCACGTTGTACAGACATATTCTCCATAGCGTTTTAATAAATTCCACGTAAGCACAATAATATTAATATCTTGAATTTTTTCAGATTATTTTATTTATTAGAAGCCAAAATAAAGAATAAGTGCAAAAAACAAGATTTTTTTAGAACTTAGACCATTTTTCTGATTTATATTTATGCCTAAACGAATCTCTCAGCTATGTATGAATAAAACATCAAGGGTATTTGATCTTTATTATTAGATGATGACCTTTATAAATCCTGTTCAGTGCAAAACTGAGAGCCCCTGCCTCGGCCACCGGAAACCTTGTATTACCCTCTCGACTTTAGGAATTCAACCAGAAATCACCAATCCTCTTCGAGGTCTGTGCTAGGCAAACCTAACAGTGAAGATACAAAGAAGAAACAAACCTGAACAAAAGGGACAGTCTCCAACAGGCAAGGGTCACGAATCAATCTTTCCACCATGGATCATCTAAGTGACTGAGCTCTTTAGTGAAGAAAGAGTTTAGCGCACCAGTTTCTTTAAGAGCCATCATACGTTGAACTACTTAACCAACAAATATATTTCAACTTTACAAAGTTTAAACGACGCCCATAGTCGCAAGAGGGAAAATTGGAAGAAAATCTTCAAATGCTATAATTTATGGCGGCAAGAAACTAATACAGAACGTTTAACAAGATTGAAACAGCAGCATCAAAATGGACAAATAAATTATTTTCCTTACTATAGCCCATGCAACGCTCTCCATACTTTGGTATGTCATCTGTCTTTGACATTTTCCTATGAAAACATAATTTTTTTGTGGCTACTACAACGCTTATTGATTAATCTTTCCTTTTCCTAGTATCTTCTAAATCTTAAACTTAAAATATTAGTTTTTATCTTTTATTTTAAGTTTTTATTTAGCCACAAAGAAATGTAAAATTAGCTCACTATGTTATTTATAAGGTTACCAAATGATACGTCACAACTGCTTAACTGCATCAACATGGAGAATCTCAGCTAGAATATATTTCAACGAGCAAGACAAGTGACAACAGCTGAATGTGTAAATTAGCCTGATAAAAGAAGGTCTGAAATCTTTCCAAAAGGTGTTCAGCTGAATTTTAGATTTTTATCACATAGTACACCAAGCTTGTCACGATTAATTTCGTAAAAATGCTCGAAACATTGAACTTCATTGCAAAGATAAACTTTTTCGTAAAATTTTTAAAAAATGCTTGTAACTCAAGAACGGAAGTACGTTGCATAAACACGGCTTGCATCGATAGAAAAAACACAATGTCTACTCAAAAAATTTGATCTAGCTAAAGGGTTCAAGGCAGCCACTGTCACTTTTTAATTAATAATTGTTTTTAGAATGAAGTTCTTTATGTCACGTGCTTGGGGGGCTTAAATTTTAAAAACGATAGATTTTCATAAAATGGAAGTTCAAAGAGATTCAAACCCTGGACCTTCCACATACAAGTCAAGGCCCTTATCTACTCTGCTATGAGCATGTCCGGCATGAGAAACTCGATTACTTTGTCGTACACACTATTTTGTCGTACAACTCATTGCTTATTTTTGATGCAAATTTTTATTTACCGTGTATTAATTCGTTTGGTTTGATTATACATTCCTTTTTATAATAATTTAAAATAATTGTGAATCCTTTATTCCGTAAGTTTTATGTAAAATAATAACATAACACAATAATTACTTAGCACTTGCGCACAATATCACCGCACTGCCAACCTTACTAAACTAAAACTTAAAACTAAATGAGCTGTATCGGGTATGAGGTCATTTATCTGGATTAATTAAAATTAGTAGCGTGGTGTCAGTTTAAGTATATAGTTGGTGTATCAAATAACATTTTTTTTATAATATAGAAAATATAAAATATAATGAAGCTTTAATTAGTACTTTGAAATGTAAATTATCCCTTTATTATGTTCAAGTGTTCTTAATTGAAGATAAAAAAATACATACTTACTAGCTATGTATAACTTTGAATATTTTCGAATTCATTCAGCAAAATAGTATTGTTTTTCATTGAATTAATNTCGCGCCGAACATCCTGCGAGTTTAAAGCAGCCAATCCGTCTCTCCTATTGTCAGGGCCGTATTCGCCGTTTCTTTGCTGCGGTGGGCCCCTATCTTATGGTGGTTCAGGTCTTATAAAGTTTCTATTATAGCCATCCCTACTGTCCTGATTTTTGTTGTTGTTTTTATAAAGGTTAAATGTTTTCCCGTTGTTGTAATTATGAGGGTTACCGTAGCTGTGGTTAAAGTAATAATTACTGCCCGTGTGATTGTAGTTATTGTACCTGTTATTGTAATCATTCCTATCATTATAATTGGTATTTCTATTGTTGTAATTGCTGTTTTCGTCATTTGCAGTATTATAATTGATGTTTCTGTTATTGTAGTTGTTGTTCCTGTTGTAGTAGTTATCATTTCTGTTGTACAGTTCCGATGGGCCATTGTTATAGTCCCTGTTACAATTGTTATAATTATTGTAATTATTTTTATGAGAATTGTCATTTTTGTTCCCGTGATTGTAGGCATTTTTGTTGGTATTAGTATTTTCTGTGGGTTGGTTATACCCTTCGTTTCGCTGTCTCTCCTCCTCCTCTCTGTCTTGCTTACGTGAGCGGCAGTCTCTCGCATAGTGTCCCGGTCTCTGACAATAGTTGCAGTTTCCTTTTGGTTCCCTCCCGTTATCTCTTGACGTTTTCCTGTCATTTATCAAAGCCATCAATCTTCGGCATTCCTCGACTGAGAGTCCGGTTCGGCCGTCACAGTATAAACAGCGTTTTTCATTCGCTGCTGCCCCTTGTGCCCCATTAGTGATCTCCGTTCTTTCTTCTTCCTTGCTTGCTAGATTTACTCGTGGTCCCATCTCGGTCGTCATATTATATGTAGGCAGTGCACTCACCGGTATCGCATGCCACAAACTGAGGTCGCTCTCTATTTTTAGTGCCTCTATGATTGCTTCACAGAGGGTCCTCGGGTTAAGACTAGTGATTTTACACCTAAATGTTGGGTGTAGACCATAAGTAAATTGTTTCACTACCTCTGCTTCTACGCTTTCCTTCAGCACCTGTTTTTGGATAGGCAGTAGGTTTGGGTTCGAATCGTGTAGCATCATCAGTCTATTGTAAAGAGAAGGTTAAATCTCCCATACTCGACGTGGGCTCGTGGGCCTTTTCAAAAAATGGTTTCATTTTTCCTGCAATTTCTTTATTTATTTTTCATCATTTCTCCATGCTCTTTTCTACCTAACAATAATTGCTAAAATTTTTTTTTTTTTTTAAAACTCGTCGTGTACTCCCCTGATAGACTCTCTCCTTGCTCGCGCTTCCCTTCCCTTGGCCCTAGGGCCCCTCATTACGAAGTTTGAGGAGAAGGAGCGTAGAGTCTCACCTATACTATCGTACGTTACACGTCTAAGGCTACGACGTCGTCGCCCTCGACGACGCTGACTTTTCAATTTATATATTGTTGAGTCTCTATACTTGTTTGCAACTTTATGTGTGTGTGTGTATTGTGTTCTGTTGTCAGTTTTTATGTAGCTTAATCTTTTACACTCATCCTTCCATGAACTTTAAAGAACTGCCGTTCTTTTTACATGAATATTTTCGCTTTTCTAATCTTTCAGTTTCTCTCATCTCGTGTCAAGTGTATAACAATATTGTTTGCTTATGCGCTTTGCCTTATATTACAATTATATACGTAATTGCCGTGAGGTGGGCATTTGCTTAGTACTACTTTACATTAAATGTTGTTTTACAATGTAATTTTTATTTTAACTTTCGCATACGTTTATTTACAAAAAAAAATTTCATACAAAATTCTTATTACAGTATTCAAGTGAACAAAGAAGAAAATCTTTTTGGATCTCGTCCTATGGACTGCGCCCCCCGATACAGTCGAGCGACTCCCGGTGCTCACTTTCGTCCACATTCTAATCATCATTATTATTATTAATATTATAGATACAATTACCTTTTCTNTAGTAGTAGATCCCTCCGATAGAGAAGGCACTTATACATAAGAAAAAGGGCAAACATGCCGAATTTATTTACCCTGTGATATATAAAGCTGTTAGCTATTAGTTGCCAACCCTGGTTCCTGCCTATGAGCCCGCGCTTTAAACCTGTGGTAAATACTTGTCCTAACACTATTTATATCCCATCGATAGCTATTTATTTTAGTGTATTACCTTATGTACCTTACCCTTTCTCTTATATTTCCCCTTTATTCGGTTAGTGTTGAGCTGCGAGTGTGGCTCTCTTCTCACGTATAAAGTATGTAATAATGAACGTATCTTTTAATTATCTTGCTTTCCTTCTTGTACAAATATTTTTGCCTATTTATTATTTTTATTTATGTAAGTACTTTTTGTACGTTTCAAAATTTTCTATCGCAAATATTTTTTTGTCGTTATCATTACTTATTTCACATCGGCTCTACGTGTGCGTATGTGCCTGTTACTAATTATGTGAATGGTCGGTTATAATATTGTGCGCCCCATCTTGCCTACGGAGTCATGTGACATATTCGAGAAGACTGTATAGTCAGATAATTTGACGATCGGTTATCTTACATTTGACTTCTATTTTGGTAGCGACGAGCTTGGAGGTATGCAATAAAAAAGGAATCATTTTACGGCAGTGCATTCCGCATTTACGTTTAGAGCTGTGTCTTATATTTTTCTAGTGTTTTTCATCCTTACATTTTCTGATACTATGTTTTTCTGCTAATCCCTCTCTCCCTTCCCTAACATGATGAGGTTTAGGATAGGGATTATATGGACATTTCTTGTTTGCTTTTACTCTTAACGCCGCGCCGTAGACGCATTTGCTGATTTCGTTCGTTGCTCTTTCGCTGTTTTCCCCTCAAAAACAAAACTTCTATTTTTTCTCTTTTTTTTCTTTTGGTCTCTGAAGAAAGTGCGCTTTCTAAGGTGTTCGCGCCGTTGTCTGAGTTTCTGGAGCTAAGCTTCGACACTGCTCATGTGACAACATGATTTTTCGCACCACGAGAATCTCTGTGTGCTGTCCTCATGCACGCAATTCTGCAGGAGCAGCCCACGTGCACTAATGCACAATGTCGTTGGGTAGGTAAAAGCTTTAATAATTACAAGCATTCTTGCTTTTTTTTTTGGTTGTTGTAGATCTGTATGCCTTCTTTCCAGTATCGACGCCACTGTTTGAACGAGGGTGGACTGGTAACGTGGTATAGTTGTCCCGGAGGTGTTCCAGGATCCCACGACGGCTTTTCAACTATCCTTCGACGACCAAGTCCTGAGGAAACACTGCCACACGCTGGGTGGGGTTGATTATTCCTTTTAAGGTGGACGGTCCGACAAACGGGCTGTTCGTTATTTTACACATGGCAGTCCATTCTATATCTCGTGATGATTATGTGTGACGTTTCAGGTGTTGTGGTTATCAGCATAATATATCATGATGGTAGGAGTGGGATTATTTCGTATGGAGAACGACAGAAGGAAGGAAGAAGGGCAGGTTCAATCTCTCATACTCGACGTGGGCTTGTAGGCCTTTTCAAAAAATAGTTTAACTTTCCCTGCAATTGCTTTATTTACTTCTTATCATTCCTCCATGCTCTTCTCTACCTAAAAATAATTGCTAAATTTTTTTTTTTCAATAATAAAGTCATCGGGTGTCAAAGAAAGTTGTTATTTGTTCACTCTTATTTTCGTTTGCTAATTTCACGTTAACTTTTCTTTGTGTACTTCTCGCATAAAATTATTTTAATTTACAATGGTATTCTCTACCTAACAATAATTGCTAAATTTTTTTTTTTTTTTCAATAATAAAGTCAATCGGGTACTAAAGAAAGTTGTTATTTGTTCATTCTTATTTTCATCTGCTAATTTCACATTAACTTCTCTTTGTGTACTTCTCGCATAAAATTATTTCAATTTACAAGTGTATGTCAGCCTATACCTATTTTTTTTCCTTTTTATTTGTCTTTACTATCAAT